AACTCTGAGGGCTGGGGATTTGACTCAGTGGTTCCACCAGCAAGTGCAAGGGCCCGAGTTCGATCCCTGGTACCAAAACAAACAAACAAACAAACAAACAAAAAACTCTGAGATGAACAATAATTTAGAAGACAGACTGTCTGAATGTGAAGTTTTAAGAGTATCTTTTTTTTTTTTTTTGGTACTGGGGATTAAACTCAGTCTTTGCTTTGCACTTATGAGTCAGGCAGCAGAACCACTGAACTAATACCTGGCAAGAGTATCTTACCTTATTTATTTTGCTTATGCTTTTCTTGTTACAGATGCATAAGAATGATATATGATAAAGCTCTGTATAAATTTAAAAAGCTCCTTCAGTAAGAATAAAATGTATAAGTGATAAGAAGGCATTATGTCATAGTTGAAGTGACAATATTTTTCTTAGTTTAAAATTAGTGGTGCATTTAAAAATCAACAATGTTTTAGATTTGGTGAAATATGATATTAACTTTGTACACATTGCTGGACCCAATGCTAATATTTAGGGTTTACAATGTGTCCATAGCAGTATTGGCCTATAATTTTGCTGTCCTGCTGTCCTGCTGTTGGTGATGTATTACCCTCATAAAATGAGTTGTGGAGTTATTCCTCTTTTTCTTTTCTTTGGAACAGTTTGAGGCAGTAAGATAAAGTGTGATCTGTTTTTTGACACCTTTGTCTGGGTCTAGTATTTTTTTTAAATTAAAATTTTGTATACTTTTATTTTCTGCAGTACTGGGGATTGAACCTAGGGCTTTTGCATTGGACTACAGCCCAAACACTTTTATTTTTTATTTGGGATCAAGGGTCAAACTTGTGATCTTTCTGCCTCAGCAGCCCAGAATGCTGTAATTACAAGCATATGCCACAATGACTGACCTGAGACTGTTTTTTAAATGCGATCCCTAGATTTTTAAATTACGGATTCAATTTTCTTCATTGTTTTAGGTCTCAGATTTCCTAGCATTTTTGGTCTGTTTTGATAATTTATATTTTTATAGAAATTCTTTATGAAATGATGCTTTCCTCATTGAAGGTTTTTTTTTTCTTCATCTTGCTTTACATTACTCTGGCCATGCTAGTTCAATTTTGGTGTAGGTGTCGGGGAAGGGATACTATTTTTCTAGTAAACCTTTTCTCATCCCTTTACTTTCTCTGTTGTATTATGTCTCTAAAAGCAGCCTAAATGGGCCCAGGATTTAGCTCAGTAGCACAGCACCTGCCTCAAAAGAGCAAGGTCCTGAGTTAGATCCCTCTGAAAAAAAAAGAAAAGAAAAAAGAAAAGCAACCTATTTGTAGATATCATCAACATCATCATCGTTGTCATTATTTTATTATTTTATTTTATTTTTTTGGTTTTTTGAGACAGGGTCTCACTATATAGTTGAGAATGACCTGGAACTCACTATGTAGCCCAGGCTGGTCTCGAACTCACAGCGATCCTCCTGCCTCACCCTCCCGAGTGCTGGGATTACAGGCGTGCTCCACCATGCCCGGCTATTATTTTATTATTATTTACTTATTATTGACTGACAGTCAGGGAGGTTTACTTAGAGGATTTCTGTTATCTCAAACCCTGGATTCACAGGCTTGTGGGTCAGTAGTTTGGGTGGGCGGGGCTGGTGCTCCATCTCTGCTCCATGTGGTGTCTGCTGAAACCTCTGGTGCTGAAGAATCCACTCCCAAGATGATTTCTTTGTCATCCAAAATTTTATAATGAAAAATTTCAAATCTTTCTTTCTTTTTTTTTTTTTTTTTTTTTTTTATAGAAGTCAAAAGAATTGTACGACAAATACTACCCACCACTTAGATTCTGCACTCCATGTTCTACCATCTTGGCAGCCCTAACTCTCTGCACTTCCCTGGATGGCTTCTTCCCTGTCAAATCTGATGCCTGATGCTCCTAGAACAGCATTGATTGGTATTTCAAATAGGTATCAATCACCTGGGTAGGGGGCCAAGGTCTTAACCCAGCCTGCCCAGGAAATATCCCTGACCCCCACTCTTATTGAAAACCCTTGTAAACTTGCTAATGACTTGCTCCCCCATTTGATCCCCATTTAATCAATATTACCTGGGCGACTGTACATAAGGTTGGTCATGGTTTTGCCTCACCTCAGGCCCACCTTGTAATTTTCCACTGGGTCTTATAGTTTTGTTGCACTTTGTACCCAATTCACCACATGGCTTTGCTTTATAAAACATCTTTGAGAAGTGGGATGGGCAGGCAACCCACTTTTCAGTCTCTTCTGTCTCTCTTAGACAGAAGCTTTCTCTCAATACATTTTTCCTACTCTTAACCTCTGTTGTTCCTAAAATTCATTCTTTGATTTTAGAGACTACAAACTCATGTTTCAGATATCTAGAAGGGGAGTTCCATCTCTTCTCCCTATATCACTAGGACTCTGGACTCTTGTTTTTTTTTAAACAGGGTCTTGCTGTGTAGTCCAGGCTAGCCTTGAACTCACAGTGATCCTCCTGCCTCAGCCTCCTGAGTGCTGGGACTACAGGTGTGCGCCACCATGCCCGGCACTCTTAGAATTCTGTCTCTTTGTGCTGTGCACTGTACAGATTGGTGGTCTCATGGTTGTTGCTCTTCTTTCATTGCAGTTATGTGGTGCTGGGCATTGAACTCAGAGCCTTTGCATTGAGCTACAACCCCAGCCCTTTTTAAATTTTTTGAGACAGGGTCATGCTAAGTCACTAAGTTGCCCAGGCTGGCCTTAAACTTGTGATCCTTCTGTTCCAGTTTCCCAAAATCAGGTTTTATTATTTAAAAAAAAAATTAAGCCAAATGTGGAGGCCCACAACTATATAAGCAAGACTTTATCTCAAAAAAATTTAATTGGACACTGTCTTTTAACTGGTGAGTTTAATTTTTATGATTATTATTATATTGACTTTACTTCTACCCTACAATTGTGATGTATTCTGTTTACCATTTTTTAATACTTGCTTTCCTTTTACTACTTTCTGTTGGATCAAATTGTGTGTTTTTCCCCTCTGCTGGTTTGAAATGATATATCCTATTTTTATTACCATAGGATTAATTTCAAAAAATTAACCTGCTTACTTATCATAGTCATTTACTCTCTACTCCTCCCTAAAAAATCTTAAAATATTAAAAAATACAAGTCCCCCTCCCACCCTCTGTTGGGGATTGAGCTCAGGACATTGCACATACTAGGGAAGTAATTTACCACTAAGCTATGACCCCAGCTCTCCCTTGTTTGACGTGTCCCTACTAATATTTAGTTTCATCTTCTTTTTAAATCTCCTAAATTAGTCATAATAATTATTTTTGTTTTATAAAGTTAGTTCCTGTTTAGATTTTCCATGTTTATTCATTTCTTTGCTCACTACTTTTTTTTTGGGGGGGAGGGATTTCTTCTTTCTCCTCTATATGTACTTAATCCTTTTAGTTTAGGTTTGGCAGTAATACTCTAAGTTTCACTTCTCTCAGAAGATCTTTCTTCCTATTATAGTGAATTATCTGGGTGAAGGATTCCAAGTTACCCATTGTTTTCTGTCAGCACTTTGCAAATGTTATGCCATTGTTTTCTGCTAGCACGTGCTTTGTTATTTTGACAAATCTTTCCAAATTCCTCTCCACAGGGATTATACAAAAGAGTTTGTACTCTCATAGGCAATTTACAATGCATGGGATCTGTTTTTACTTTTTTTTTTTTTTTTTTTAAAGACTTTGGGCTTCAGTTTCTTGTAGCATCCCTGAACAGAGCAAGTTCCCTGTTTCTACTTCTTTAAATTTTTACCTACAATTGTAATTGATGGATCATATGGTAACTAGTTTTAATTTTTGGGGAAGTTGCCATACATTTTACATACCCATCAGTAATGTGCAGGAGTTCTAAATTTTTCTGTAACTTTGCCAACAGTTGTTAGTTTTTGATAATATCCATCTTAATAGGTGTGAAATGGTATCTCATTATGAGCCATCTTTTTTCTCTAGTGTTTTTTGTTTATAAATTGGGGGTAAGGTGGAGGGTAGGCCCCATTAGCAAATCTGTTATGTGCTAGAACTGCCAGACCCATCTATTTGTAATGCAAATTGTTTAATTTTTCTATCTTTTGGCGTGTGTCCAATTTGTAAGTACATAAAAATTCATGACGGTTCCTTTAAATATGAAAAAAGACTTTATCCTAAGATCGTTTCATAAATCTCCTGGTTTCAGTTAAAGTATCATGAGCCAAGAATCGTTATCCCCCTGTCTGCCATTCTCCTAACTGTTTGTTTCTACCTATCTTCTTTAACAGTCCTCCCCATAACAATAACTATTTCTTTGCTATCACTTTATTGGTGCCATCACTATTGCTTTATGTTTTGATCCTGTCTCATAGTCATACATTACTACGCTCCCAGCCTCCCACAGTACCACTGCTCTCCCAGGGGCTTGGCTCTTGAACATAATTCAGTTTAATATCTATAGATATTAAGGCCTTGTTACAATCCATTCACTCTTCCTTTACAGCTGCCTATATAATTGTCAAAGAGATCTAGGGGAACAACGATACCATCATTAAGGGCATCCCCAGTGACTGTGCAAATAGCCTTGCTTTCTTTATCCTATTCTAGTTTGAGGTCTTAAAGATTACCAATGAGGAAATCAAGTGCCCCATGAATTAGATTTAATCTTCAGTCATACTTTCCCTGGGCAAATGTGTAGGCTGTACAGATGGTTCCTGACATATGATGGCTCAACTTTCGATTTTCGACTTTAAGATTGTAGAGGAGTGGTATGCGTTCAGTAGAAATAGTACTTTGAATTTTTAATTTTGATATTTTCCCAGGCTAGTGATATGCAGTATGATACTGACAGGCCATGACAGACAGCACTAGGCAGCCACAGCTCCCAGCCATCCGCCCAGTCACCTGTACTCCACTGTGTACAGAGTTGCTGTGCTGTGATGTTTGCTAGGTATATTAAATGTTCTTCACTTATGTTATTTTCAACTTATGACAGGTTATCAGAAGATAACCCCATCAAAAGTTGAGGAGCACCTGTAAAGGAAAATGACAAAGATGGGAAACTGGACAATAAGTGTTTTGGTTGGCTTCAGTAAAAAACATATGCTTCTAAGCAATTTATGAAGTTGATTGTGATTCCTGAGTACCCTGGTCTTTAGCTGTATTATAAATGTTAGCCCTTCTTTAAAAAGGAGACTTTCCTTAGGGATATTAGGGTTGGGTTCAGAGAGCAAAAAGAAGTACAAGGGTGCTGGAACTTCCCTGCAGCCCACAGATAATAAGAATAATTTTCCCATTGCCATGATTTACTATCTTCTCCATGTCCAGCAGAGTCCTTCACAGTACAGAACTGAGCTAATAACAGTCACAGTGAGCAATGACCACAGTTTTCTTCCTTCTGAGATTTTCTCAACATGTTCCAATTGCTTAGTCCGAGACTCGGTTGGCATAGCCCTGTGTCTGCTCGCTCCTTGGACCAGGATGGAACCAAGTGTCTTGTTGGGCAGATAGCCTGTGGGCCTGAATCTAGCTCCTGTCCATGCTTTGGAGATAACTGCAGATGCAGGGTTTCAGAAAAAGGTTTGGGCCATATGCTTGCTTGGCATGTGCTTCACAAAATCTCAAGGTGAGCCTCTGAAGCTTTCTTCTGCAGCCCTGGAGCTGTATATGAGGGCAGTGTTTGTTAGCAGGAATGCTGTTGCTATATGGGAGTCACCATTCATCAATCTTGATTGTAGAAGGCCATTAGTACCTTCCATTCCTGGTGACAGCCCAAAATGCCCCTGCATTTTCATATGTCTTATGGAAGATGTTATCTCTGAAGAAAGCTAACTTTAGATGCTGACCATTTGTACGTGTGTCAGTATTTGGATGGCTCAGTTCTTTGTCTTCCCTAAACTTCAGCCTCAGAAGTACTCTTTTCTGCCCTACACCCTAATCCAGACTGGAGAATCTAGTGGGATATCCTCTGGGGAGGACAGTACCGGAAACCCTCTGAGTCGTGAAGCTGTCTTTGTGGAGTGTCTGAGCAGGTGGCTCTGGAACCATAATACATTGGGCAGGTGTGTGTATGAGGGGGTCTTATTGTCTCTGCTGTGAATTCTCTCTATGACCTGAGGCCAGTTACTTAACCTCAGTCTCCTCATCCCCCTTTCTGTAAAAATAATATGCCTATGTTACAGGATTGATGAGATAAGTTAATATGTACGATAAATTGCTTCATACACTGCTCGGTCCACTCTCTGTGCTGTTTAGCTATTATTGTCTTTATTATCATCAATCATGTGTGTCAGAGAAGGGTTGGCTGCACAGTTTTTAATCTAAATAGAGCAAAATCAATTAGTAACAATAAACCTGCAAGCTTCTGGCTCTAGAGGTGAAGGAATAGAATTAATGCTGCTTTGGTTGCAAAATAGGATGGAGTTGGAGAGTGTGCTAGGAGTGTTGAATGTTTGCTTCCCTGCCTTTCCCTTTGTCATTCTCTCAAGCTCTGCCCCAGAACTGTGACTGCTGAACCTTGAGTAGTGGCGGGGGTCTAAGTCCCTGGCAAAATACAAGGCCTGGAAAGTCATTTTTCCTTACAGGGTAGGGGAAATACTTCTGTCTAAGCACTGTATGCCAAGAACTCAGAGCCCCTTTCTGTCATTTTAAATTAAACTTTCTAGATATGCAAGCTTTACCTTACCCATACATAAGGGATTTTCAAGGTACCAAGAATGTCTTGAAAAACCTTCTTATCTCCATGACTCAAATTCCAATATTAGCATTCAATTCTATTGTGTTAAATGTCATCTCCTTTCTGAGTTTTTTTTTGTTTTGTTTTGTTTTGTTGTGTTTTGTTTTGTTTTGTTTTAAATACAAGTGTGTGGAAAAGAGTCATAGCTGCCCAGCTTCTGTCTTTCAAATGATCTACTTGCAAATTCGGTCCTTGGTTGGTATCTGAAAACTTGGATTTGGGGAGTGTTCCTGTTACCCTAACTGATAAGAGTGTCTTGAGTTTTTCACTGCATCTGAGCTTATAGTTTATGCAGAACACTTATTTTCCTTTTGAGAGCGTGGAATTTGGGTACATGAAAGGCACAGGGCTCCTTGTGTGACAAGCTGCTAATAAAGATGGTGGGCACCGAGTTTCTAATGAGTTTCCTTACTTGGCATCATTTTACACATGTCACAGCTGTCCCTGGAGGAATTAAGAATGTTCTGACTCCACTGAGAGAGGACCCTTGGAAGTTTGCACTTAGTTTCTTCTGGACTCATTCCACGTGCCTTTTCCTTTGCTGACTTTGCTTTGTATCCTCTCTCTGTAATAGACTGTGGCCATGAGTGTGACTCTGTGCTGAGGCCTGATCTTCCTAGTGAATCACTGAACCTGCAGGTGGCCTTGGGGACCTCTGATATAACAAGTACTGTATTCTTGACAGGTACAGAGCAGTAGCAAAGCAAAAGTTTTTAGTGAAATACTAGCGAAGTTAATATACACATTAATTGGATAAAGGACAAAATCCACACACCTGTCCCAATATACAAACAAAAGACATTTAAAAATTTGTGATATGAACTTAGAGTAGACGGAAACTTCTTTCATCTGATATAAGGCAACTACAAAGCAAAATAAAAACAAAGCAACCAAAGGAAAACTCATACACAAGAGTGAAAACCCAAATGTTTTCTAGCTGAGGTCAGGAAAAAGCCAAAGTTGCTGATTCTCACCTCTTCAACATAATCCTACAGGTGTCAGCTGTTGCCATCAGGTAAGAAAAGGAACTAAAACTATTTCTAGACAGCTTGATTCAGTCTTTAGAACATTCTAAAGATGATAAATACGAGTATTCCTGATAAAGGCATATCATCAAATTTGCACGAAAATGAATTTATAGGACTTTCTTTCAGGGGCTCCATAAAGAACCTGGTAACTTGGAGGCAGAGGAGATGTTGAATGGGCTATTAACAGCCTACCTCTACCTGGCTTGTGATTAACTTACCTACAGGAGTGCATGGATTAGGAGGAAGATGATCTACTCTGGTGTGCACCTCTAAGTCAAGAGCAAGGATATAGAAGTCATCAGCTGTTCAAAACTCTACTGCAACGCCTGTGCCCTCACATGTCCTGAGAATGAATTGCCCACAAAATTTTTTTAAGCCAACGGCATGGAAGGATCACAGCTTTAGGGAACCAGAAAGATTCAAGTTTGAATTCTACTTCTTTCCCTTAACTGTGGGATTTTTGGTTAATTTTTGGATTTTTCGTTAGCCTTGGTTTCCAAATGGGGATGAAGGTACAGCCACTGTATTGGTTAAGACATGCACTTGACTGCCAGTGACTGAGGCCAGGAGGAATACGAACAGAAGCAATACAAAGCTTACCTCTCCCCTGTTCAGAGGAACGGAGGAGGTTGCCTTGCTGAACCCACTGTCACTGAGTACCAGGAGGGGAAACAAGGAGAATGGGCGACCATGGCAGTCTCCCTTGCTTAAAGGAGCTTTCCCAGAAGTCCCCCTTGGTGACTTCCTCTTGTATTTTATCAGCCAGAACTTAGACCTATGGCTACACCTAATCACAGTAGAGGCTTTTAAATGTATTTTTAGCTAGGTACATTGGCAATACAAGCAGGGTTTCTCATGCTGTGGCAGCGGGAAAATGGGACTGGATGGGTAAAGCAGTCCCAGTCACATTCACCCTGCTGAGCTGATGATAACACATGAAAAGTGCCATGCACGGATCAGGAGCAGATGAATGCTCCCCAGCCCATCCCTGCTCATATCTTTTAGCCATGAGTAAGATGCTTATTCCTTGTGAGTGTATGATTAAGGTATAGGTGACACCCAAGGGATCCTTGTAATAGCAGCATCTTTCCCATGTTGTAATACTTAGCTCAGTGCCTGCCACTAACAGGAGCCCATGAGTCCCCTTTAGATGAATTAAAGAGCAAGGGATTTGGAGCCTGGTGAATCTGGTATTTGAATCTTATCTTTCCACTCTCCAGTAAGGCACCTTAACTCCTTGAGGCTCCTTATCCTCATCTGTAAGTTGGGGATATCGCATTCTTCACAAAGTTGTTCAAAGGATCCAGAGAAGCTCAATGTAAATGGATGGCATCACTAGTTTTATGGGCAGAAACAGTATGAAATGTAATCCCACCCCCCGAACTCCTCTCCACCTCTGCTCAGCCTGCTGCTTCTGAGCAGTTCCTGTCCTGAGCATCTTATCTAGCTACAAGCGTGGACTCAAGCCAGCCTGTTTGGTTTGAATCTCAGCTCTGCCACTTCACTGGATGATTCTTTGAGTAAGTTCCTTAACTAATCCATGCCTCGCTTTCCTCATTTATAAAACAGGAATCATAATAGTACCCACTTCATAGCATTGTTGGGAAGACGAAGAGATAGTTTCAAGACCAGTGCTTGGCACCTAGTGTTTGTTGCTATTTATTAGTATTAATTATTATTTGGCATCTTCTTTCTGCCTGATTTGTCAATATTTTATCTTTTCTCTTGCTTCTGTGTCGAATTCCTGTTCTTGTTGTGTGAATAACGAAGTACTTTTTCCTCCATTCCCTTTTCAACCCACTTCCAGGTGGGCAACAAATAGTTTGCCAGCCCTAATCCTTGCTGAGCCCCTGGCGGCAGCAGAGCATAGGCTTGGGAGGGGGTTGCTGCTGTGGCAGGGTGCAGGAGGGTTCTGGCCAGGATCTCTGCACCCCAATCCCCATGCATCACTGTGATCTGTGAGGCCCCCCCTTACCTGCTTTCTTCAACCTCAGCTCTTAGCCTTCTCAGCCCCTGCTCACTTGCTCCAGCCCCACCGGCCTCCCTCCTGCTCCTCCTGCATAGCTCTTTCCTGTCTTGAGGATTTTGCCTTTGCGTTTCCCTCAGACTAAACCATTCTTTCTTAGGCCTTGCATGGCTCACTTAATGTAGTTACACTTTTGTTGTTGTTGTTGTTGTTTTTTTAAGTTGGCCCTCTACTGCCATGCTCTGTAACTTTTATTCTTATTCAGACCACTCGTCACTACCTGAGATTAAACAAAATGTTAGATTTGTTTATTGTTCATCTCCCCCAAGCCAAACTGGAAGGCGCTTTTTATCCACAGTGCAATCCTCAGTACCTGGAGCAGTTCCTGGCACAAAGTAAGGGTTCTGGGGCTTTTGATGATGGAGGGAGTGGCTGCTTAGTGATGGTAGAGACTCACTCTCCAGCCACGTTTCCCTCTCAGAGTGTTGAGCAAAAACAAAACAAAACCAAACCTCAGGAGGTGGGGACAGACTCAGAGGTGGGATAGAAGAGTGGAGATGGTTGTGACCTGGTGGGCCTCAGTAGCAAGAACTGGGATACCAGATTGCCGACTCTGGTAATTCAAGACAGTTCCACCTGGTTTTCAAAAGCAGTGGCTCTGCCGCCTGCTTCACAAAGCGGATGGACCTGAGTTCAATCCCCGGTACCAAAAAACAAACAAACAAAAAAAAACAAACTACATTCTTTCCTCTGAATCTTCACACACACACACACACACACACACACACACACACACACACACACACACACACACACACACACACACACACACACACACATCATGATTAACTCAGGCAGAGGTCATTTTTTATTCTGAGGGCAGATTTTCTAACAGAGTTGACCTCAGGTAAATGCAGCTTTGGAGTCACTCTGAGGTTAATAAAGTCCCTGGGCTTAGTGACCAGGCTCCCTCTTGGTGGGAGGGTTTGGCAGGTAGGCAAACCTTGAGCTGTGTGGACTTTGCGATCCATTCAAGCCTGCAGGTCTATGATTCTCCAGTCTTTATCTTCCCCACGAGGACACTGAGGCTCAGAGACATTATATGACTTGCTCAAGGTAGAGACCTGGGGAAAGAGGATAAACTAAAGCAAGGCCTTCAAGGCCCTTGAGGCCCATCTGATTTGTGCAAAGTGGCTTGCCTCCACTCACCTTCCTTCCCATGTGCTGGTGCAGGGCAGAGAATCCAGTGACGTTCTCAGAGCTGCCCACAGCTGCCCCAGGAGCTACATGCCAGCTAGGAGACACTGCTGAGAGGCAGGCCTCCCTTCCCCTCCCCAGCTGCTACATTTTGCTGCAGGCTGTTAAGGGCCCCCCATCTGCACCATCTCTCATTAATTAAAAAGGCCACACACACACACACACACACACACACACACACAATGCCACAAACCATCTGTTGAGAAAGCCTTGGAGAGGGGGCTGCCTGCCCGAGGCACCATTCTCTCATACTACTTGACTTCAATTGAAAACTTATTTTTAGAATAAAACCCGGGCCCACAAAGCTTTTCTTGTGGCTGGTGGCAGCAGCGATGGTGGCAGGGTCATCCTGGTGAGCCATAGCCAAAGAGGCTCTGGAGTCAGGGCAGTGGCATTGGCAGGATTAATATGATGGATTTAACCAGCCTATTGGAAGACAGAGGTTGCCATGGATGGGGGAGAGGAGAGTGGATGGGGCAGAGGAGGACCTGTAGGGACTGGCAGCTAGAGAGACAAGGACAGAGATACAGAGGTGGCCCTGCTTAGAAGAACACACACTGGGTGTAGGGGAGCTGGAGGCCCGAGTTCTAACTCTGACTGTGGAGTATGGGACTAGAGCCTTTCCCCAAGGGCCTTGGGACACCGGAGTTAGGATGGATCCCTAGCTTTCTGCAATGGGATGGTTTCGTGAAGA